GCCAATACATTACTCTGAGAAATGTCTCCACAACTGTCACGCGTGAACGTGACATTTCCGCAGCACAGTGATAAATACCGTCATTATTCGTTAAATTCAATGACATGTATACTGTCCACAGAGGCCTCGTTGTTCAAGATGTTAAATTTTGATAAATTGTTTTATTATTGGTAATGTATTGCGACGACGTATTAAAAAACAGGTTAATTAAAAAAATAAAATATAAAAAAATCATTTTGCTGTGTTTGGATACAACATATCCCATCGTTCATTCGAATAAACATAAGTAATATTTATTCCTTCGAGGACTATTTTAAAATTTACATTTACTACAAAAACAAACAAAAAAAACTTGTTTATTGCGAAGAATGTACGTGAATGGGAAATAATATTTTAGAGCTAATTTGCAATTTTCAAAAACTAATGATCTACTTGTGATCACAATTCACTCTTCATCGTATGCAAATAAAGAAGGGAAAATCCGAGTATGGCAGAAGTTGACGTTAGTTCGTTTTTGTGACATAAGCTGCATAATTCGTGCGAGCTTTGAATAACTAACGAGATCGGTGATTTGACAAAGTATATACGAGCACATAGGCATTAAGTAACATAAGATTATTGTCATGTTATGTTATACGTATGGACGTTTATTTGTATATGGACCTTTTGTGGCAGTGAGTGAGTGGACAATTGCATAAATAAATGAATACATTAAATAATTAATTATTCATTATACAAATAAATAAAATCATTAATAAATTCGATAATGAATAAATGGACAATTGCATATAATATTGAATATATACATTAATCAATCAATAATTAAATAAATAAATAAATTTAAATAAATAAATTCGACCAAACTATATTTTTACTATGTTATGGACTGGCGGATTGATATATATATATATATATACATAAACATGTGTACACGTGTGTACATGGACATTTTTGAAAAGAATAAATAGAAAACACCTATTCAAAGAAAAAATAGTCACACAAAATATCGGTAAAATAGAGCCTCAAAAGAGACTGCAAATAACACACCCCTCCCCTCTGGGAAAATTTCACATGCTCTTTTGAATTCTACGCCAACCGTCCTATAACGCTTGGGGAAACCGACGTCGTTTAATTAGTCGTACTCCGAGTCTCAGTTGATAATACATGTTCGACTTAAACATAATGCACGTTGCTTTGAGACAAATGCGATAATTGAGTGTCATGGCCAGTCGGGATCAACCGATAGTTTCGTCGAGAAGTTAGTTAAATATTTTGATGGTGTCCTACAATTTTTTTCACCGAGACTTTTCTTTCTGTATATTGATGTATAATGATTTATTTGAGCTATAATCTCTGACTTATTAATTTCAGCTGTCTAGTAAAATGATACAGTTATCTATTATAAATAGTATGTCATAAAGAAACGTACCAAATTATTCACAATGAACACTGCATGACAAATTTAGGTCACGTTGCTAGAATACATGTTATTGCTCTATCTACATAAAACAAATATCGCGTGATACGGCGAGATATCACGTAATGTGACGTCATAGCTAATGGAAACGAACATACGGTAACGTAATAAATGGAAACAAAGGGGAAATGGTATTAGAATATAAAATACGCGTTTCATATTGCCTTGTTTCGACCACAAAACCACAAGGGTTATTTAATTTTAATTTAGAAAATATTACTTAAGTTCGTCGGGGGCACTCCATGAAAACCGCAAAGTTAATCCATGATTAATTATACACTTCGTCCCAGAAGTCGATCAACTAATTAAATTTTCACATACAAATCCGAGCTGCCGAATAAATAAATTATTTTTTTTTCTTTAGTACGTGAGTGGAAAATTTGATATTTCATAAGCGAGTGTTCGGAACAGAAAATATCCCCCCCCCTGGCAACCTTGATATTGGGCCACGCGATATTACATTCAGAAGACAACGATTTGGAACGTGATATTAATGTAATTAGTTTAGTCTGGGCTCCATGCCGACTGCATCAATAGATAAACCGATAAGAGAACGAAAATCGAAGACAATTAAATGACACGGAACATTCGCGATGTTTTGGCGAATGCATCAATTGGCTGGGAAACTGCAGAGCAGAAAATATGGCGTATGCTTTATGGTAGTTTTGATGTTTTGCCTAGTTACTCCCTGTGGCCATTTTTAAATGATTTCACGAGAAAGTCACACGCTGGAAAGACATGAAGTTCATCTACAATGTTCAAATTTTGCGCAGATTTTTTCTCAATGTTTTTTTGTTCATACATTTATCATTTTGTTTATCGAATCATTTATTTGTTTGATTACTAGTACATCCACATGTAGTGTATTATGTAGTGTTACATTGAAATGAGATGAGTGACGTCAAACTGGCAATCATAAATTAAGTTACCGTCATAAAAACACTACACTACAGACTAACAAAATATGACTCTTAATATCGAAAAAACTAGGTTAATATTTTGTGAATTTTAACGTTGTGTGCTAATAACAAACATGAAAATGAACGAATGACCGTAACTGTTTTAGTCATTATGAAACAAGACTAATAATCAACTCCCGGTTTTCGTTCGAACAAATTAGACAATGTTTATCTAATAACGTTTCCTATTGGGCAGATTGAATTACTTTAATTCGTTGATATGAGCTAGGCCTTAAAAATATCGAACGGTTTGAGAATGATTGAAGTTTGTGATACAATCTGCAGGTAATCCGCCGTGGTAATTTAAGCGGCGGCCATCTTTGATTTTGCGCTCAGACGGTACCGCGTTCTATATATACTGCTGGCTTATAAAATATAACTCGTTCCTAAAGACCACACGTCGATAAGTTAATGATTGCTGTAAAAAAATCGGACTGCGTCCAATCAAAAATATTTGGGCTCAACGAAAGTTCTGGATTAGGTGATATCGGATCTAATCTTAGCAGTGTCGTGATATGGGAATTACATTCAGCGGTCAAGTGCAATATAAATTAAATGTTGTCTTGTTGAACCTGTTATTGACAAATTTATTACTATGTATAATGTATTTACTTGTATTTTTCTCAAAAAAATGTAAATTTGTACCAGATTAATAAAACAGTACATACGAAGAAACTTTAGTATTTTATTCAGTAACAGAAAATGAAGCCACTCTGTCCTCATTGGATTAAATCATTATTTTACCATGTACTGAGGGAAAATGAGTGAGTATTGAGTTATATTTAATTAGGTCGACATATTTTTTTGTCAAAACAGTTCCTCCAGACATTGTTAACGACATATTTTCAAATTTAGTTAGCTAAGTAGGCCCGTGGTCTTGTGAGTCTCCCTAGTGTGTGTTATGTTAACGACAAAAAACCGCACGTATCACACCTGTCAATTTGAAAATTATTCCAGGGATCACCAGATAATGAAGTACAAATGAAGAAAACAAATCAATAACGTTAGGCTCTGTAATGCTATAACGCAAACCCTATTTGAAAACTGACATCCACAGTCGGTATATATAGAGACGTGTTCATAAAAATGGCTTTGCCGTATTGAAATATAATTGCAATGTTAGAGTTCAAATTTGATAAATAAAATACAATGAAGATGTATACGTTCGCTAATAGGTTTCGGATAGCAAGCATAATTTCGTAATAAATGTTAAAATATTATTTCATGTCTATATGCTTTCGGTTCCTTGTGCAGTGTCTATAAACTCTAATATCGATTAGAAGTCGCGACATCGAGCCTTAAATTATTATAAACATCTTAATGTATTCATACAACTATTCCTATACATGTGACGTCATCTATCGGAGCGTTTCATCTGTGACGTTAAAATGATGTAGCTGTGTAAAAGCGATGTCACCCAAAGCGGCAGCTGTTATGTAATCTAGATTTTATAATGATAAAGCGTTCAAAAAATATTGCTTTTTATTGAAAGGCAACACGAGATCCAGACAATATCGACAAAAGGAACGGCATACGTTACACCAATTCGTACGTCGTAAAAAAAAAAACTGATCCGCTCGATGGCTGGACCTTCAGAAAGGTTTTTGTGAATCACACTGGAGAAATAATATACGATGTTTTTTTTTTCAAATGCAGGGACATATCTTTATTTGACAGAAGTAACGGATATTGTTTTCCACTTGAAACTAACTTTTTTAAATGACGCCCTAAGTTGGTATTCAAGCACATGTAACATGTGACGATGAAGGAGCGTCAAGAAAAATAAAATGAATTCACATTCAATTTTCGACAAGATCTATTGATGTCTATTTCTCTAAGATAAAATAGAGCTTTGCTTAAGATCAGTGAGGCAATCTCGAGATCTACAAGATAATGTTTAGTGTATATCTCCTGCGTAAGCCATATCACCATGGTAACACACAAGAGAGAAGACAAACGTGTGATTCAAACTAATCTACCTCTCTCGGGAAAATTGGTTACGACCGGTGCTAACACGATGTACGTCAGTTAACATGTTTTCGTGTTAAATATTATCGATTACAAACCAAGTGCTAAATCACGTGCACGTGGCATGATGGATTGATTTTACAATTGAAATGACAGTCGGTATTTGCTTAGCACATGTGTTCCTGGCAAGTCAATGACAATTACGTGTTTCCAATGAAAAAAAAAGAATTTTTGATTCCTCTATACTCTCATTTCTAACGTGTTCTGACAAATTAACGAACGCTTCATATTTGTCTAAGGCTATTGATAGCGATTGGAGACGCATAATTAAGCACGATACCGTGCGTTGTCTCTTTTTCTCCGAGCACCGTTAGTGGAACGAATTCCTACCTATCAGTCGAGTGTTCCCATTACAGGATGGGGAGGTATATTATTTTGGATTGATCACGTATTCTGCGTTTACGATGCCATTGCAATTGTCACAACGTATATGAAGTACTCTTAAGAGAACATTCAATCACTAATTCTATTCTGATTATCGGGATTAACTGTATCGGGATTTGGCCAAGCTTTTGTAAAGCGAGTGGTTCAAATGTATTCAAATTTCCGAGTTCGTTTTTTTAATAAAAATGCATGGTGTGTTATTCTTATGTCATCAAACTTGGTCTAAATTCTAGAGATCACTCAATTATATAATTTTCTTCTATTTAATATAATTTGAAAAATTGAGTAAACTTAACGTTGAGTACACAATCTCAGATGGAGAAGGCATTTGCAGACCGGCCATGATGGATGGAACATTTGAGGCTGATAACATTTGCTTGAGAATTGAAACTTAGCGTTGTTTTATCGATTAGGATAAACGTCAGATCACTTTCCGTCCTGGGGAAATTTGTTTTGTCTGGTCAAGTCGGTAAAAAGATTGAATTACATGCCACATTTTTTGGAGACATTGTTGTTCAGTCGATGATAAGAGGGCGATTCGCTGCAAGTGGTATCTTTATTTAAAGGGCGGCAGTCGTCGCGCCGCGTCCTGTTCGATGTGGGACTCACAGCGACGTACACAACGCGTGTAAAATACATTGTTTATTTACATGAAATTCGAACACGCGCTGCGCTACGACCATCGCGCTTTAAAACAGACCGACCGGCTTAAGGAACTCTGTCACATTAATATGCGGTCGCATGAAAGAATCCCGCTGCTCTACGGAGAGTGGGGGATGCAAGAACAGCGTCTTGGAACATGATGTCGCGTTCAATATTACTCTTCAAAATAGTGGCTTTGTACGGGTAATTATTTCCCCGTGGCATTGCATTCGCGTTAGTTTCTCGAAGAAACCATTTTTATGCCGATTTGAATAGCCCTACTCAGTTTCACAGAATAGTTCTATACATCACGTTTTCATAGTGTTCCGCCTTGTAACAAATTACCTTACACGCATGTCATAGCGACGTTGAAAGGGTTCAGCAAGAGTTCACGAATTATGTTTGACTTTACATAGCACTGTCCTCTATAATAATCACGCTAAATGGTTAACATTGGCAACGCTTGTATACACAGAAACGCAGATATTGGAAATGATGTGAGACGCCACCTAGTATTAATCTAAACATTTCAGATCAAATGACATCATACTTGTGTTTTAATCATTTTTCAATTATATTAACATATACTAAATATTAAGAAGATCAAATATTATTCAGCTACACATATTTAGACATATTTAACTAGAAACACTTTATTTTTTTCAAAATGGAATTATTTTGCTCATGTTTATTTCATTTATGCACGAATGTGTGATAATGTAGTATTGTGATGATAATATAGCAGGAAAACGTAGTATCGTGGGGTACAGTATGCATACTGTTTTACTGTTTCTGGCAGAAAAAAATGTGGTAAACCACAACAACCCCCCCCCCCCCCAAAAAAAAACAACGATGGAGAAATTTTCGTTGATAAATCTTATTTGAAAATTCTCTCCACTAATCAAGCATAATGTAAAACACCGTTCTCTCTCTAACGACAAGCAGCATATGCCGTCATCATACTAAGGTGTAAATGGGTACTAGCAACTTTGTTCAAACACTGTAAAATGCTTTATTTTTGCTTGGAATTAATTTTCGCTGAGTAAATAATTCAGTGAAAATAAAATACAGCGAATATACCCTTTTTCCTATATTTTACATTCAACTTGTCAAAAATCAGTGAAATAAGTTCGATACAAAACACCCAAAAAGTCTTTTCTGTGAAAACTATTAATTCCAGCTAACATAAAGTATTTTACAGTAAAATATTTTTTTTAGTAGTTCATCATTTATATTTTTGCAAATCAAAAAAAAAAAAAAAAACAATATTTTTTTGACGGAACCACATATACAAACTTATATCGACACTCTGAACATCCATTTACGACACATAAGCAATTCGTCTCTGGAGGACACAGCATTAGAAACGGTGTATGGAGCGTTTTAAACTTCCTGATTTTAATCTACGCTCCTGGAAACATTACTTTTACAATACACTTTGAGATGATAGAAATCGGTGCTCGAAGGAGAACGAATTACGCACACATTATGGAATAGTGTCAAATACAGGTCATGGACATGGCGAGGTTTTAAAATAGGACTTTGGGGCTTGAATTAATTGAACATGTTTTTTATTTCTTTCTTTTTTTTGGTGAAAACCTATTGTGGGGCATATGAGTATTGTCGAACATTATACATCGCAATCTGTACTTGCACCGACAGAGACGCTTGTCCTGTAACGGTATTTTGTCTGTGTTATCATTATTCAAATGAGCTTAGCATTATGCCTATTCACAATAATACAGATGGCGTAGTGTTCTTTTTTGCGCTGCATCATACAAGTCATGCCATGTAACTATATGTCCTTGTGGGAGAGCAGTCTAATTTGGTAAAATTTAGGGTGTGGTCCCTTGGTGTTGTGTCTTAATGTTTGTAAATGGGGCGGGGTTCTAATATTGTCTCAGTTATTGTGCCTTGTGGGTTCTTGTTTAAACAGGGGCGATTATTACGTATATATTGACATATATTTATGTATAGAAATATGTTAATTAAGGCCGTTTTATCTGTTTTATTACCAGAAAACATGCCATACATGGTGGTTGTAACAGCAACGTATTAACACAATTCCGAAACCGATTAGCTTAATTAATTAAATTATCGGCTGAGTATTGTGCATTTCCACAATCGTAATAATCTCCATACATGTACTTACAATGAGAGATGATTATGTGATTGCAATGATGCTACGGAACAGCGGAGGGGCATAACATTGGGTATTGATAATGAGTGTCGAGGGAGAGAAATATCTATTTCGAACACAATAGTATGATGTAGCACTTACCACTGACGCCGAAAAGAAAAACAAGCACTGCGGCAGAAATTAAGAACGTCTTCATCATCACGATAGCGTTCACAAGTCACTCCGATTCCAAATTCTCTGAATTGAATTGTAATACTACTTAATAGCACGGGAACTGTACAGGAAGCTATCCGTTCCGACGGTCGACGCAGTCTGCAATCAGCCGCTTGCATGCAGTTAGGATTATCGTACATGCGCAGACTGCTTTAGGGGGACAACATTTTTCCAGATGGGGAGTAACGTCATATTATGGCGAGGGTGAGTGCTGTGAAGATGTTGTGACGTCA